TATATATGTATGTGTGTGTGTGTGTGTGTGTGTGTATATTACTTCCATGTCAAAGTAAAAAAAAAAAAAATTGGCCAGATGATTCAATGCACCACTGTAGTTAACTTATAATGTATTCCTTTTAAGTCTTTAATTTGGCAGACCCAGATATTGAGTTTGAACGCAGAGAACTACAACTCTGTTTACAAGCGAGGTCATGTTCAGTTCTTTATGGCCATTATTATCAAGCTTGGGTTTCTGTTATAGCATTTAGCACAGCTTGTAAGCAGTAATGACGCCATTAAAAATTAAGATTGTTTTCGGCAAGCGCGCTAACATTAAGCAGTGGAAGTCAGTATGAAAGAGCTGACTTCAGGCAATTGTTGGGCTAAACATTTATAATGGCTTTATGTGTGTGTGTGTGTGTGTGTGTGTGTGTGTGTGTGTGTGTGTGTGTCTGCAGTTCGAACCCAAAACAAAGTACCACACAAATATGAAACATAAACATAAAACTCTGTCGGATTGTTCAACCCCCATAGTTTTGATCGATTTTAGCAGTCTCCAGCTCTGTTTGAATTTTCTGACCAAGAATCAACAAAATTCTGTTTTGAGAAATGATAAATGCTCATTACTGATTCCTTCTGTCAGATTTAATAATAAATTATTAGTCATGGTGTTATATAACTGTAGACTTGAAAATATTACATATGTAGCACTAAGTAAAAAAAAAAAAAGAAAAAAGAAAAAAAGAAACAGGCACACGTATATTGTGTATGCTTGGTAATAATGCCCCGATATAAAATTGTCAACTCAACACAGTTCATGAACCCATTTACGCCACCAATTACACGGTAGACAGTGGAGACCCGCTATTTGTGGACGATAGGCCCACAAATAGTGAAAATCCACAGAGTGACGTCCATTCAAATGCACTGGGAGATTATTCAGTGTTTCTTAATCACCTAGACCAAGTGATAATATGATAGGGACTTTTCGATCAACCAACCTCCCGCGATTGACCCATTAACGCGCATGCGCACGCACATACACACGCATGCCACAATGAGCAACAGCCTGACGAGGAGGCATGCGACTCACTTTTGCAGCCTGTTAACTATCGTAGCTCATGCGGACAGTTTTAAAATGCTTCTTTCGGCCCTCCAGATTCCTATTCTTTGCGAGTGCCATCGGTGAATTGTATACGAACTGCACCTTGCCTGATAATAATAATAATAATAATAAAGGCGACATCGCAACAGCTCTGATAGCAAGTTAAACGTGACCTGCTTCATTTTATTTTGTTTTTTAAATACTTTTGTGAAAGTGAGACTGATAGGATGATTTGGGTTCAGTGTGCATGAACACAAAAAGAATATTACTGACATGCACAGAGATACACAAATGTTTGCTAGGTTTTTTTTTCCCTCTCCACCCCTCGTGATTGATTTGGTACCAGTCCGCGAGCTACCTGTCGATCGCGATCGACGTCATGGCCACCCCTGGTCGACGGTAAATGTAACCTGCGATGGACTGGAGCCATTCCAGGGTGTACACCCGCCTCTCATCTGGAATAGAGTCCAATTCACCCGTGACCCTTATTTGACTGTAACCGCTCCAATTTATAGTGCGTATTGGACATTGACCTGACTGAAACATGGCTGCGATGACACAAAAGGCTTGTTTTAATCTGAAATGTACCAAAACAAGAAACAGCATCGATATGACAGCAAGTGGTTAGAAAATAAAGCTCATCTAGAGAGATAACAGTCATGTGAAATAAAAGTAAAGTGCATCGTGTCCAGTACAGATGAAATGTAGTCCGGGTAATGATTGTCAAAATGTTATTGCTTCCGCAGAGGCTTTGATGCAAGTGACAAAGTCAATGAGTCAATTCATCATAATTGATAACAAATGACATTTGTTTAATGCAAACAGATGATTTCTCTTTTTTCTCCCTCCACACACGTAACGGCACATGATATCCGTGGGTGTTAAATTGGTCAGATAAAAGCTTTTCTTCTCTGTGGTAGAATCTAAAATTGAATTTACAAACTTCACAGACTGAGAGAAAGAGAGAGAGGATTTCATTTTAAAACGCTTCACAAAATTACATCTCACAAGAAGATAAATTTGACATGTCGGTGTTTATGTACATCGGTGGGTACCCATTATGTGTTCATGCTCATCTTTTTTGAAAAAGCAATTCTAGTGTCACACGGATTAAACTCACCATCACTAATAAAAGAAATGAACAAATCAAGAAATTAGCTGGATAAATATACCAAACATAAAGGTCAAAGCCCCCCCCCCCCACCCTCCCCCATATAGACATTTGCAAGAAAAGTTCTGGCCCATAGAAAAACAAGACATGATCATTTCATTAATAAGCAGCAAATCCAAAAGTTGAGACGTATTTTTTGATGCAGTCAGCACATAAATTCTGCTGACCTGAATAGCACAACCTCATTTACACTGCAACACAAATGAAGCTCTTCACTTTGACTCAACATCTTGTCGTTCGAGTGCTCATTACCGGCACACGGCGAAGAAAAGGAGTGACTGTGACTGGCGTTATTTTGTATCCATGCTTTTTTTTTTAAAAAAAAATCAATTAGCTCATATTTTACACTGCAGTTGATCTCATCTCGGTCTGACATATGGTGCCTGTACGTCGGTGGTGGGCAAAATATGGCCTGCGGGCTATTTATGGCCCGCTGCATTCTTTATTTGGGCCCACAAAGAATTTCTTTTATCAAGAGTCCTGTAATATTTTGGGCAACAATATTTTGATCTTATTAAGAATAGATTCGTTCGAAATGACAAAATAATCAAATATTAGCAGTCTTTTTCCCCCTTTTTTAAAATGATAACTGATTAATTAAAATAATATAATTTAAAAAATTAGATGAGAATAAGTTAGCTAGCGTGTTTATAATTTAAATCAACCCATCCATCCATTTTCTATGCTGCTTGTCCTCATCAGGGTCACGAGTACTATTTTACATATTTTACATAAACCTTGAAGGGGAGTTGGAATTTAAATGCAAAAATCACTTTGTCGTATTTGTCAAAACAGTCAATATAGCTTGACAATTTTACATGATGAATATGACGTGAAAAAATCAGCTTCTAATTTGATAAACAAGAAACCGACCCGCCCGAGGGAAAAATAAAGAATGAGAGACATAAGTTTTGATTTCCAAGGTGTCAGTCATTTGTCAAACACTTGCGGCAAACTCATCGCAGGTAGCAGGTCAGCTTGAGGCGGCAGGGTGACAAATCATTGGTAAGTCACACATTCTGTCTCTGATTTTCACATTCACAAGTTATATTGACTGTTTTGATATAAAATATAAAAAAAAAAGTATGGTCTTTTTGAAAATTGCAAGCCCCTCTTTTGAAATAGTTTTTTAAAATTTTTTTTTTAAAATAGTTCTGGCTGGCTGTTTTTAAATCAACTGTGGCCCTTGAGCACGAAAGCTTTCCCACCCCTGCTGTACATCATAAATCCTAACTGCTGTACACTCTGAACTGGGGCAGGCACAACCGTTACTCATGTCAACCCCATTTTGCCCTTCTATAAACTAAAGTGAAGGATGTCTCTTTCCCCGTAAATGACTTATCCATTCAATCCAAGCGTGGCAGCCTTAGCTCCCTCCGGTAGAGCCACCTTCCGCTCCAGAGCATCCATAAAGCTCCAGGAAGCAGTCTGGGAGATCTGGGAAAATAAAATTGCTGAATGATTGCTGGTGTGTGGGCTCTCGTCCTTTACTTTTTCCTTTCCGGGTCCAAAAGAGCTGTGGCTGTCACGTCCTTGTTGACCACATGAAGACAAACGGGGGCTGTATGAAAAGTGACGGACTGTTTCCAGCGTGCCGGCTTGGGTTCTCTAGAGGAGGGAGCTGGGGCTCTCTGGGTGTGGTGGCGAGGGATTGTGCGTGGGGCTGTGGCGCATCGGCAGAATGTCATAGTGGGTCGGGATGTGGCTGCCGCGAGGGAGGTCATATGGGTTCTGGGAGAAACCGGTGGCCATCCCGTTGGGCCCTTGCAAAACACTCACCGTGGGCTCTGCGATGGCTTGAGGGGGATGAAGGGGTGGGGGATGGAGGAAGAGGGTGGAGGGCAGTCAGCATCATATTTACTACATCAGTGTTTCCCAACCTTTATTGAGCCAAGGCTCATATTTCACATTTGAAAAATCTCATGACACAACACCAATCAAAAATGTGTCCAAAAAGATGTATACCATATTTTTCAGACTATAAGTTACACTTTTAAAAAAAAAAATTCCGTATAAAATAACCTACAATAAACCTGTTTCTCACCGACATCATAGATGTTTCCTCTGGTGCCGCCCAGGAGCGTGGCGGTGCCCCCGAAGGGCACTTCGCGGTGGGAGGGGGATTTCATTTCCACGTAGCTACTCTCCGTGTGCTTGCACGCCAGCCCTGGCGGGTCCCTGATTGTGGCGTAAGGGTTCTCGGTGCTCAGGGAGCAGGAGCTGTTGTTGCACATCGAGCCCTTGATGTAATCTGCCACGGAGGAGACAGGCACCTTCAGTTAGAGCAAAAAATAAAGCGATGGTCGCTGGTGCGTGGCGGTACGAGCAGAAGAGCACAAAAACTTGTTGGCCTGCTTTAAAATGTTACCCTTTTGTTTTTTGCCTCGGATGAATAATGGCCGTAAAAAGTAATCTGGATAGAAAGGGGAGCGCGGTGGATGACTCATCTCATCCATAACAGTCTCATCAGTCAGTCTATGAGGACTCATTATGGACCACAGCAAGACTACTTCAAGACCACTCCTCACACCTTTGGATCTCTCGCAGTCACCGGAACCGCGCAGTGTGGGAGCGCAAATAATATGTCTGGCATCGAGCCACGGAGGGCAATTACCATTGGAGTGAAATTGCAGGTCATCATGATCTCGTTTGAAAAGTTTTTCATACAATCATGGAGGATATGAGAAGATTGAGATTGGGTAGGGGGTGACACTCAAGTGGCGACAGGAACCATTTGGTGAAACCGATTGACAGGGGAAGTCAAGTTTTACAAAATTCTTTGTGCTACCACTAGTCCAAAACACATAATTCTGATGCAGGTTCAGTTTGTGCAATATGAATTAAGCAGAAAAATCCACCCATTTTTTTTTTTTTTTAATCGATCTCAGCCTTGTCCTGCCACTTGCTGTTGACAGTGCCGATGAAGGCTCAGGAAACGACTGTCACGGCTCACGTTTTCTGAGTTTGGTCATGTGACCTTCGAGGGCTCAAAACGTAGGCATCGTGATGTCATTTTCAGGTGACAAAAAGTGGCAGTACAAGGTAAAATGGCCGCCCTTGAGATGGATAAAAACGGGTGGATTTTTTTTGACTGAATTTAAATTACACATGCATAAAACACACGAGTGTAAACGGATCAGTGCTGTTATTCTTCTTATCTTTCTGCTGTCAGGTAAATTAGGCGATGAAAAAAAAGTAATCTATAAACAACGTTATTTGGTCATTTGACACCAGCAGGCTATTGTTCTGATGTCAACAAGTGAATCAAAAGCTGCTCCTCACTTCCAAGATTAACGTGTCATTCTGTGTCACCGTCACCAGAGCGGGTTCTCTTTCACCACACCGGCATTTATGGGTTCAGCCGTTTAACCGTTAACTATAGAAAAATCTTGTTTCTACTCGCTCTATGTTTACATTCTTCACTCTTCATTTGTCTTCCCGTCCTTTTTCTGCCACACAGAGTGCGTCACGGGGGAGAGGCGTGTATCATAAATTGCAAGAGAGAAATAGAACAACGGGGGAAGGTACTGCCGATTTATGTGAAGTAATAAGTCCCGGTACGCTAGAAGCTAAAATTGAGAAGTGCTGGTTCTCCGAACTAGTGCGTAACAGCCCGCTTGAAGCACTGATTGCAAAGAAAATTTGGGACTTAACTTCCCCTTGAAGGACAGATCCCAATTCTTAGTGCTGGGAAGGCTGAACGAGACACGCACTCATGCAGACACACGCGCGGTGTTGACGAAAATGAATTATTTACCTTTTCGGGAGCCTCTTGGAGCCTGCGTCTCCCCCTGTTGAACATCTGCTACATAATGTCAAAACATGAAAGTCAGATGTTGCATAATTCACACAATCTGTGGCTAACCTTTTGTTTTGGCAGAATGGAGTACTCCTTTTAAGGATGTGGCAATGACTACTTACTGACAAATACTTTTTACATTCTCCACGCCCATAACCTCCTCCAGTCAACGGAGGTCAAGAAAGGATATTTTCAAAATCATAGCGAGAGCATCCATTGTAAGGCTGCTGCACATTGAGCGACGTGGCCAAAATCACAAAGTGCAAAGTAACACTATGCCCTAATAATTGTGGACATGAGACCCAACTGCTTGTCCTCCTGGGTTTCATCCCAAACTGACATTTGAATACCCTTTACTAGCATCTAGAGTTTGACCTATACATGCAGAACATGCTCGCTCGACGAAAAAATGTTACAAGCACAAAAAAAAAAAAAACCGCGACGGTGCAGTGATCCATTGTTTTTGTTGTGACGTTGTCACACATGCTCAGACTGAATGTTAAACATGCTCGTGTCCTCTCTTTTCACAGATGACCGTTTTCAGCGTTTGTTGTTGGAAAAAAAAGAGCCACTCTCCTGTACTTCAGAACGCGCTCATTACTATTTTTTCTCCATGTCCACGGCTGACGATGCGATGTAAAAAGAAGCAAGACGTAAATAGAGACAGTGGTTCATATCTTGATTGGATGAGATCCTGGAGACTTTTTAAGTCAGAAAAAAAATGGGGACAGCAGCCACATCAAAAAAAAAAAAAAGTGCAGCAGGGAGCACTAATGAGGATGGCAACAGATTCGGAGAATTGTTTGATCAGTTATGAGAACAATACATGGTGAATGCAATTTGCCTTGTGACAGCCTATAAACCACGAGGTGGTGCAAATCGAATTTGAAAAAAAAACCCAAAACAAAACAAAATAAAACCGAGTACTTTGTATTATTCGCCGTTGTTATCATTAGCTAATTAAGCATGTTTTGTTATTCACTGCACAACATTTGCAATGCTCTGGAATTGGGAACACATTGTTTTGCTAACATAAAAGTTCACCGACGCTAGCATTGGTTTAAAAAAAAACCGACCAACAAAATCAAGTTATAATAGGTAATTGGGAAAATGAATGATAATTTATTTTCTTTTGTACTAAGTACATCTCAGAGTCTTGACTTTTACTCAAGTACAGGAGCTAAATCAGTACTTCTATTACAAGACATTTTTTCCTCACAAATATTAGTGCTTCTAGCTAAACTACAGTATTTTCCACACTATAAGGCGTTTCAAAGTATAAGGTGCACCTTTAACAAATGGTGTATTTTTAAAACTGTTTTCAGATATAGGGCGCAAGCCATTATAAGGTGCATAGAATAGAAGCCACAATAGTGGCTGCGGTTGCGTTATGCATCCACTAGATGGAGCTAAGCTAAAGTAATACAATACATCTTTATTTCTATAGAGCTACCACAACCGCTGCAGCTGTCACAAAGCACTACACAGAACATTTAAAATACTATGTCCAAGAAATCAGAATATTGATTCATATCTTAGGTGCATCGGATTATAAGGTGCAGTGTTGGCTTTTGAGAAAATTGAACGCTTTTAGGTGCGCCTTATAGTGCGGAAAATATGGTAAATATTTGCTGTTGTCTTTAACATACACTTGACAATAAAACAGAGTAGCATAGCATGTCACTCCAATGAGAGTAAAGAGGGGAGCATGATTGGTAAATTCAATATTCTAGAATTTCTACAATGTATTCTTCCCGTGTGGGCATTGAACTATTTCGGCGATTCTGGATGTTTCTCTAATCGACATCCCTCCACAGTGCAGTAGCTGACCTGGCGTAAACCATCACAGAGGAATCGAACACGGACTGAGAAGGCATACTAACGAGCTCTCACTGACCCGTGATCTCCTCAGAACCGCACCGCTCTCTTTCTAAGCCGCATATCAAATGAAAATGAAAGCAGGGGATTTTTTTTTTCTTTCTAACAAGGAGCCAGTGGTTCATCTTCATTCACAGCGGGGAGGCAGGGCCATGAGTGCAGGCCCACTAAGGACACACACGTCTCTGCCCTTGGGGCAACGTAGCAAAGTCATGATGGATGACATTCTTCATGGGGGATGAGAGAGGGAAAACTCACCGAGATCGTTGAGGTTGCAGTAGGCTCTCCAGTCGGATCCGTTTCGGTTTTTCAGAGTGCTCGACTGCGAAGTGGGGCAGTAAGAGAACACTGGTTGATTTTATTTGAGTGGAGGAAGCTCCACTTGTGTGGCATGTGAATGTACTTTGAGGGTCAGCGTGGCATCCAGGTTGCTGGAGATGGTTGATACGACGTTGCACTGGGCCACGGTGTGGTAGCTGGGGTTGGAGAAGCACTGGCCACCGCCGCCGCCGCTGCTGCTGCTGCTGCTACTGCTACTCGGATTGTGATTGACCTCAGCTGCGCTGGTCTTTATGGCCAAGGTGCTGCCACACTCTGTGGATTTCAGTAGCAATTTATTCATGTCGACATTTATATATGATACGCTGACAGAAAATCAACAGAGGAGGATGTACTCAATGGGCACGTTGACACAATATCTACCCAGCAATTTTCAATAGCGCTTGTTTAGGGTTGAGAGATGGAACGAAAAAGAAAATGAAAATGTGAAATATAAATTGTGATCGTTTTCCCTCAATGTTGCGAGTGTGATGGAATTGGTGATTACTATTCATTTTCAAGCTCCTCTTCCCATGTATTCTTTTTAACAGACAAGCAATAAATTACCGCATTTTCCGCACCATATGGTGCACCTAAAAGCATTCAATTTTCTCAAAAGCCGACAGTGCACCTTATAATCCGATGTGCCTTATATATGGCTCAAAATTCTGATTTCTTGGACATAGTATTTTAAATGTTCTGTAAAGCGCTTTGTTACAGCAGTTGTGAAAGCACTATCTAAATAAAGCTGTATAGTATTGTATTGTATTGTATTCTTTTCAGCGTAGCTCCATCTAGTGGATGCATAACGCAACCGCAGCCACCATTGTGGCTTCTATTCTATGCACTTCATAATGCAGTGCGCCCTATGTGTGAAAACAGTTTTAAAACAGGCCATTCATTGAAGGTGCGCCTTATACTCCGAAGCGTAAATAGTGCAGAAAATACGGTCATCTGTATGACAATAAACAATATCAGATTGATTATACGTAAATGTTTTGGTTTTTTTAGGTTAGGCTTACTCTTAAAAATATTTACTCTTCAAAAATGATCAATGATAATCGCAAATAAAGTTGCATACGGAGAACATACAAATCAGGTTTTTATTTAGAAGAGAACTTTAAAAATCAAAGACTTGGTTCAATTTAAAACTGCACAATTTATGGACAAAATAGAAACCAATGCTTCCTCTCAATGTTCAGAACCTGTTTCCAAAAAGGGGAATGAATGCACTTACAACTTTGGAGGTTATGACATGTTTAAAAAATAAATAAATAAATAAAACAGCTCCGTATTTCGTTTGTTGGTATTGGAGAGAACGGGGAGAACATATGTGCCTGAGCAGGTTCACCTAATGAAGGGCTTTCTGTATTTTTAGTTCATTCAAATTGAGGAACAGAAGCAGTTCTCACCAGAGAGTGAATAGTCCGTGTTGGTCATCTGCATGGCCTGCGAGTACGACACACTCGGCTGGATCTCGTGTCCTTTCTCTCGCTGCCTCTGTCTGTACCACACAAACAGGCTGAGCATGGCCATGATGATGAGGAGGAGGAAGATGATGCCCATGACGGCGCCTGCGGACTGCCGCTCCGAGCCGCGGGCCGGGCTAATCTTGGTGTATGGGTTCAGCTCCTCCATCATGAGAGATGCTAGACACGGAACATTGCAGAGTGGCTTGTGAGACCACGGGTGTCAAAATCAAGGCTCATGGGCCAGAGTTGGACCTTGAGCCGTCTTTGGTGGCCCGCGAGAGCCACGGAGATTTATAGAAATGAAGTGCTGCATATCGTGGGGCTGTCACTATTAAATCATTTTAGAATTGACAATTCATTCGATTATTCCAATGATTAATCGGATAAAAATGTATTTTGAGAATGTTTTTTTCCCTCCCAGTTAATATTGATGGTTATTTGGCATTATTTGATGATTCAACGAAATAAAATGAACAATGAAGTACCGTAATACCACGAGACGGATGTACACTTCTGAGGCTGCTTCAGGTTGACCTGCTTCTCATCTCCAGGTTATTTGTAATACGGCAGCAAATAACAATTATTATCGTTATAGGTAAATGCATGTAAATGATGTCAATGTAAATTCTTTTAGTAATTTTAATATGCTACTTTTGTTCTCTTTGCTTTGTAAATGTCTTCAGCTGTTGTTTTGTAAATGCTTTTCGATGTTGTGCAGCACATTGAGTTGCTTTGTGTATGAAATGTGCTGTGTAAATAAAGTTGCCTTGCTTGACCTTATTTGGATGAAACACAAAGGACAGAAATCCGAATAGATGTCAATTCATCGATTCTGACACCTCTCGCATATTTTTATTTATCCGTGTTCTACCTCGTTGCATCATTGTCATGAACATAATCAATGTCTTCACATAGATGAACATCATTATTTATAGATGACATGCAATTTAATTCAATTTAATTCCAGCAAATTGGTTATTTTCAAAGTGTGGTAGGCCTTGACATTATGCAGTCCCCGCAAAGTTTCTCCCACTTTCAAAACGTTCAATGACCCCTTACCTACGACGTGGCCCCTATGAAAACAAGTTTGATGTTTTTGACAATCATCCAGAGAAAGTCTCATTCGTCTCAGTTATCTCCTCACCTTGATCACAACGGATTCCTTTATATCCCAGGCTGCAGTAGCATGTCCCGGTCACATAGTCACAGGTAGCATTGTTCAGACATTCACACAGCTGCTGACAGCCATATCCGAATGTACCAGAATGACACTCTGCAAAGGAGGAGAGGTGCATCACTGCAAAATTAAAGCACTTCGAGAGCGGCTGTGTAAAAAAAAAAAAAAAAATCTATATTTATAGCACGCCTCATATTCACATCCACTGGGCGATTTTTTTTGCATAGAGCTAAATGTGGCGGGCCTACTAAACTCTGCTCGCAACTCGTCCCGATGAAGCCGGTTCGACACGCACACAGGCCCGTGATGTGGTCGCACTCTGCGCCGTTCTGGCAGCGGCACACTTCGGAACAATCTCTGCCATAGAAGCCGGAGGGACAGCCTGGGACGGGACGCGTGAAACGTTGCCAATGGCGGAGCGGCAGAAGAGACAGGCAGACAATGTGGAGAGCCAAGGTCATTTTGCAAGCAACAGCCAAATCAATAGCATTCAAAGTTTGGGCAGCATGCGTAATAAGGGACAACGCGAAGGAATCCAAATATTTCCTGCATCAGCAGACGATGCTGGGATGTTGAGTGCGTTGCTAAGTTGTTAATATAAAAGAAGGACCCTGCATGACAGTGTGTAAGGAAAATATTTATAAGACAGTGACATTGTGTACGCTGAGAATTCAAATGAGTCACAGTAACTGGGATGAACTACACAACTGCTGCGTTGTGCCAAGTCGAACGAGTATTAATTTTTATGTTGCCTTCAAGTCGAATCTGAATGATAAAGTAGCTTTCAGCGACTGTCCAGATGTTTCAAACGAGTCCGCGTCTGCTGCAGTTGAGCCACACAGCCTCTAGGTGACAGTGTGTGTTTGCTCAAGGACTCACGCTGCGTGCAGTAGAGACCCGTCCAGCCAGGTCCGCATCTACATTCTCCATCGTAGGCACTGCATTGAGCTCCATTGTGACAGTTACATGAGTTGAGACAATCTGGGCCCCAACGGTCGGAGGGACAGGCTGCACACACCAGAGGCGCGAGACAAATATGAGGCGCAACGTGGGACTTTTTTTTTTTGGACATTGTTATTACACACGCACCCAACGACAAACTAGAAAGCTGACACAGATCCATGCGGAATATTAATTACGAGCTCTTTGCTCAACCACTCAATGATTGTCAATATAATGAATACATCAGCCTCAATTGCCCGGAGTTTAATAATTCCTATTTCAAATAATTTCTACAGCAACAGAGTCCTGAATAAAGAGTGGTTAGACAAAGAGCATTATCCAACATTGTCAAGCATGTTATGTGTTCCCCATCTGCTGGCGTAGTAGGTTTTGATCCATGTGAACCTTTGTGAGCCTGCTCCTCTGACTAGGTGGGAAAAAATAAAAACGGAAAATATCGTCCACATGCTTGGGTTGCGAAATTGTGGGATTTTTTTTGGGGAAGTAATGGGAATACAATATAAGTGAATCCATTGGAACAGGATAGTCTACAAAATACTTTTTGGGGGTGGTGGGGGGTAGACAAACATCTTGCAATATAATCTTGCTTAGTTACACATAGGGCTGCTCGATTATGAAAAAAAAAACAATATCAATCACGATTATTCAAATGATTACACTTCCCATGGAAAGTTTCCACTCCTTTGCGATCCTAAACATTTCATAGACTACTTTTCATCTATGAAATCCCCTTAAATTATTGTGAGAAAACAGTAACTGCGGCAAGCTACGTTTAAGACAAAATGGGGTGTGAAGACAGTCAAATGCCAAAGAGGGGTGCGAATAGACGGTTACTTAGAGAAAGGGACCAGAGGATAAAGCAGTGCGGACATACCCTGAGAGCAATCATGCCCGATCCATCCAGGGAAGCACTGGCAGGATCCATCAATGGGGTTACAGGTGCCATTGTTGGTGCAGCGGCAGATTTCGGCACAGGCCCTTCCATACCTGCCGCTGGGACAAACTGGAAAAGCAACAACAGATCATAACCCGATGTGATTTGAAAGATAAAAATGCACAAACATGATGAATGGGGTTAGAGTCACTAACTTTTGACATTTAGGACAGGGGTCTCAAACCCGATTTAGAGTCTGGGTGAGTCTGGGCCACATCAAGTATCCTCCTCCCCAAAAAAATCAATCATTGTTCATACCAATCCAAAACATTTACGTTCTTCTGGATATGAACAAGATTGGTGAGTCAGTTGTCCCACATCCCCCTGCTACTTTTGCATCCTCGTCAGCATGTGTAGTTGAGTGATGACATTTGATTTCATGAGTATCACCACTTTTCTCTTTGCATTCAAGACATGTCGGGGAGCCTCTGTGCGAAAACACAAAAACATTCGGTCTCCTGTTTTTCCTCAAAATTGGCTCTTCTCGTCGCCAATCTCTCTCTTCACGGCAGGTTTTGGAAAAGACGTGACTGAGACTGGGTAACAGGATGTCTTTTCCTGACGCTTGATGTCACTTCAGAATTCACTTCAGAAGCTGTCATGAGCCAGAGTCATGATAAAGTGATTCAAATAACAAGCAAACACAAAAGGGCAACGACACAAAAAAAAAAGTCAAATGCCATATTTACATGAAAGTTTGACATCAAGTCGGGGGCAGCAACACATGTAGACCGACACATGTAGACCAACAGTATAAAAATACTCACCAGTATATAGTCTAAGTCTTTATCCTCTGCAAAGAATGACTAATATATCAAGTATATCTCAAGGCACCACTGTATAACAATGTATTGGATTTAAAAAAAAGCCTTAATATATGACTAAAACATATGATGTATGTATCCTGGATTATAAATTATAAGAAAGTTTAGTGACATCTAACAAAAATAAGAAAATCCTTAAAGGAGGATATTAGAATGCATATTGAAAACACAGATAGCGATGATGCTAAAATTAATACGATAAAACTGACATTGGAAGCGACTCAGCATAAGTAAGCAATGGTGAAAATGTAGTATGACATTGGCTTATGAGATGGATGGCAGTGTTTATTTGAGTGGACACATGAAGTGATATGCTTAGACAAAAAAAAAAAAAAAGAAAGAGTCAATCACCGCCTCCCGTGGCACAATTGCCCCAATTTCATCAACCCAAGCGGAATGACTGATGTGCCACAGTATTAAAATAGACCATGTACACAGACCACTGCATACATTTTTGATGAAATTAATATTTCAGCGTTCCCTGGCACTCTTCAATAAAAGATATCGCTTGCAATGAAACCTCCCATTGTACTTTATTGTTGGGCAGCGGGACAAATTAGGCCCAGATGCTCTTCACCATCAGGATGAAGGAACGGCAGCAACAGGATGTGCGGCACATCGAAGGTCTGTCATAAAGAGAATAACTCAGCAACATCACATAAGGTGGCTGATATACTTGCTTCTTCTTCTTCCTTTTTTTTTTCTTTTTTTTTTTAAAATCTGGGCAGATTTTAATGATTTCATTTCAACAGCCTTTCCGCTCTTGTCGAGACCTCTTTCATGCTCCTTCGAGCAGGCTGTCATTAATGCCAGGAGGTTAGCTCCGCCGTTGTGGGGACCGGAGCCTCATCACACCAGGAGAGCTTCATTAGGCTCTGTCTGGAAAGGACGGGCGGACGAGCGAGGACGCAAACAAGCGTTCAACAAGTGGACTTGTTTGTCGTCACCTTCATCCCTCGCCACCGCGCATCTGTTCGCCATTTCATTATGGTTCAGAAAAAAATGACGACTTCTCCACCGTTTTCCTTGTTGGATTAAATTTTGATTGAATGAAACATTCCTTAAAGTTATGAAAGGGAATAAAAAAAATCTACCAGAGGTTCAGTACGTTATTAAAAGTTTCTAAATTATGAGATGACAAAAAGTAAGAAAGTTTCTCAACGAGTTTGGTATTTGGGCAATGACGTTTTGAATAAATTTGCCTTTTCACAAAAATAAAAGCGATAAAGGTGTGATGTCAAGTAAATACTTGTAGTTTTAAGGTAAGATTTTTCAGAGCAAGTAAGTCAAGTAAAGCATCACCGGAGATGAAATGCAGCGCCTGGTAGTATCCAGACTTCAGGCTGCAGTTGACTGCAAAGGATTTGCAACCAAATATAAATTCAAGCTGAAAGTCAGCAGTTAACGCTCATTTTGTTCGAAAAAAAAAAAAAATCACACAAAAAGCATTCACAGCGTCACTGAGTGAGAGCTGAACCCACATTGCTTGCACTGAAGTCAGCAAATGAAATAAAATAAAATCCTTTCGGTTGTTTGTATTTCCCTTTATCAACTTTTTTTGACATTGTGGTTTCATTTATTGTTATATTACGTGGGTCTGCGAACCACGTTGACTAGCTCGGGCTCATTTTGCATTCTACATCCATACATGCAGAGACATTTTCCAGCAGTAGAAGGAAAAAGTGTCACAGTGAACAGATTTGTCAGTAAGGGAAAATGTCAAGGGGACGCAGAGGGAGGGACACTTACCTTGGCTGCACAAAGGGCCCGAGTAGCCAGACAGACATTCGCAGTGGCCAGTTACGTGATGGCACGGCCCCGTGCTGTGAACACACCGCGGGCATGATTGGCTGCAGCGATGCCCGTAGAACCCCGGAGAGCATGCTGTGGTGACAAACCAGGATAGGGAAAAGGATAAGAAATTCTTGTTAACAGCGGACGGAAAAAAGAGACATAATTCATCATAATGCAAAACGTCATGTCAAGAGTGATCAAGGGAGTGCAGAAAAATCAGATCTGGAAGTGTAGAAGCAAAAGCGAGAAAAGAGACGGAAAAGGGAGGAAGACATCAGAAAAAGTCTTCAGTGCAATAATTCCCGTGCCGTGTGCTACACGGGATGCACTGCATTAGTTGAGAACATCCGTTTAATGTTCGCTATGCCTCACAGACGCTTATCTGTAAAAGTCAGGAAGATTATATTGAAAGATTAAGAACTTTTAAGGTATCCGAAAGGTGACGTTCTGGAGATGATTAAACATGAAACTATGCAAAGGGACAGAATGGTACATGAAAAATTGTTATGTTAAGGTGGAATTTAATATTGGGAGCCACTCACATCTGTCTTACTGCGCTCAGAAAATAATCAGAGACAGTCACCTCACCCACATCACAAAAACCTGAAGTCCAAAATGTTCTTTACAATAATAGCTGTGCACTATGCGCTCCCACGAAACACAGTATTTTGATTAATACTGCGGTTGTGGAATACCGATTAAGAAGCAAAATTTGCTGCTGTGAATTGGGAATTTCTCCATTGCGAGACTAATAAAGGTTTTCTTATCTTATCTTAAATCGACCAGGTTTTTATCCATCTCAGGATGTCAGGGGCAGCCATTTTTGCCACTTGCTGTCGACTGAAAATGACATCACAGTGCTTAAGGGCTGAGTACAGAGAGAGTGAGTGTGTGTGTGTGTGTGTGTGTATATATATATATATATATATATATATATTTAATCCTCTGTAATCCTGCTTTTTACCAATACAGAAAGTGACAGCTGGAGATGAATTTTACAATGTACATCTTTGTCAAGATGACTGATGTATATACGATTTTTAATTTATCTTAACTTATCATCTTGGTAAAAAGCAGGATGAAAGAGGATTTAACAATGAATAATTTTGAGCACAAATTGGGCTCATGTTGAAATACGGTTGACCTACTTCCTTCTTTTTCTTTCAAATTTAATGTAAAATAATAGTTTGTCACCATCTCATGGCCAACAGTGGAATTACATGAAAATTAACGAGCCAGATCAAAATTCAGTTGTACCAAAAAAATTTATATATATATATATATATATATATATATGTATTAATAAAATAGTAGGACGGCGAACCCAGAACCCACGATGGAAGAGGGTTTACCGCTTTTCCAAAATCAGTTTTAATCACTGTCGGGGGCTGTGTTCATTCAAGTTTCGAAGTGGGAATAAGTACGCTACTTCTGTTCTGTTCACACAAACACATTTGACACAGCTTGTTTTGACCCATCTCGAACACTCAGCTACAATTGATATTTACGGGCCGGTGAGTGCAAATTCACTCCCAATCAGTGAGCTCATCACTTGAGAGCGGCTTCAGACTGACCAAGACGTGTTCACAAACCAGAGGTGACATTCGCAAAGTGATGAGTGCCGCGCTAGGCCTGCGCGCTTCCCACTATGAGCCGGCCGTGAAAGGCAGGAGGGAGGTCAGTGGGGGTGCTGCTTGGAAGGGAGGTGAGGTGGAGGGGGTTTAACACTCTGATTGAATGATGGACATCTGAAGTGCTGCCTCTCAGCTGGCTCACCCTCCGACTGTTTTTTTCAAGGTCATACAAAGGTCACCAACAGTTATGTTACAGTAAAAGTTAGGGGATTGATTTGATTACATGCCATTGTTTTCCGAATAGTTACATTCTTACAAAAAGAAAGAAAGATTCAAGCTGTTTAATGACACTCCCAGTTGAGGTTTACTGTCAAACTAAACAGAACTGAAAGAGAATTACACGTTAAGTAATTAAAACACACAACTTTGCCTTTAAATCCACTAGCTTAATGCAAACACATGAAGGGAAACGCTAGAGTCATGAGTTAGCGATTAGCATCTATGTGGCGGTGTTATAGCCGTTAACGTAATGGACATTTGAACACAAAAGGTGAGTCAACACAGGTAGAAGCCCGCTATAACAATATTGAAAGCATATATAATTTATTCTCGGTGAAAACCGACTATTATCGCAGCCACTGAGTCCCACTCGGTGTGATAGTGTTCTTTGTTGGCCGAGTCATGCACACCTGAAGGAGCTGCAACGAATTAGTCATAATGCACGAATTTTTAAATTCTTGATATTCTATTTATGATGTAATTACTCTGTTTTAATAAAATACTATATTATAGAATCGTATGTATAAGACGCAGTTCTTGCCATTCTGCCTACACGCTTTGCAGTGGCTTAGCCAGTCCTTTGCGGGCCCAAGGCAAACCCAGCAGGCTCTGCCATGTAAACCCGGAACAGGTTCCAAGCCAACTATGAAGAAAAATGGACCGTGCATTTTAATGTGCTTAAGGATGGTTTCCTAACTTTGCATCAAGCATTTGTGCATTCCGTGGGAACACTCACTTCTTTTGCAGGAAGTCCCTCTGAATCCAGGTGCGCAAACACACGTTCCATCCTCCGGAGAGCAGGAGCCTCCATTCTGACACGGGCAGCTGAGTGAACAGTTGTTGCCCCAGTAGCCTTGTGTGCACACGTTGTCACAGTGGATTCCTGCACACACATGACAATGATGCCTACGAAAGGGCTACGCAACGTTAAGAAGGATAAAAATCCTGCAGGAACACCAAACGAGAGCCCATGGCCCGACATGTTATATCAGAGCAGATCTGCAGAGGGACGTTTGCTCAGCATGGATCCTTGATTGATTTCCACCCAGAAAGTGGATGTTTTTTTTTTCTTTTCAAATTCGAGCCCCTCTTTTTAGACTCCTCCTGTTCTTCCTGAATCTACTTTATTTTTGATCTGACGAGGGCTCCATGCCAGTGCGCTGTGCTGATTAACAGGGCTACCTCTCGGGAGAGAACTAGCTTGTCTGGCATTCTCTTTCAGCGTAGCCGGTTTAGAGTACAGAACAGGAAAAAAAAAAAAAAAGGAAATAGTCCGCGGCTACATGGGCACAGTGTGGGAAGTGTCACTGCACGTTGGAATCAGCTCCAAGCGGCAAACGAGAAAACGTTGCATCCATACGGGGGCTCTCGCTGTGCATGCAGATCTATTAGCACATCCATCGGAGCGGCGCCTTTTCTCCCAAGCATGCCGGCGCCTTTGAAAACTAAGGGCCAAAGTCATATGTACTGTATACGCACGCAGGTTCTTAAGTCACACGGTTACTTGCGCACATGTAAAGTTATGCGCTGCACACTCTGCATCCTTTCAAGCACCTGCCTTTATCTTCACGCCTCATTTGAAATTTCCTTTGAGTGAGGATATCTGAGAATAGCGCGGCCATTAAAACAGCATTACCTTTGAATTAGACTCACACCAAACTCTGGGGACTCATTTTCTACGATAACATTGGCACTTTAAGGGTTGAACGTGAAGGAGCAGCGAGGGTACGAAATATTGATGCTGAGCAGGGCCCAGAGTCGCCATGATTTAGTCCATCCGCGACGCTAGTCCAGTTGTGTTTGAGATTGCGCCACCTGTGAGAAAATGAATGCGGACTGCATCTCACTTCTTGGTACAGTGGCAACAAACGAAGTAGCTTTGGATGCATGGTGAGCCACAAGAAGAAAAGACCGAGTTCAAGCGTCTTCAAAGGAGCTGCAAAGGAATCAGAGGTCTCGCCATCTAATTTGTTCAGGGTGAGAAGGGCAAAGCAAACCACTCCTCTTTCCTTTAATGCTGCAGACCATGTAACACTCCAATTCGCAAGAAAAGGAGTAGAATATTGGCAGGAATCAAGTGCGGTGAAGTGCTACATGCACGAGAAATGAAGCTCCAAATTTAGGTGTCAAAGAGCTATTGGTGTTCGGCACATCCTACTTGGCACTATCTGTCATGATCCATCCAGTGTCTTGCCAACAAAAAAATTCAAGCTATGAATCTCGAAAGCTCACGCCGACAGAGGAAAATGCATTGACCTTATCGAAGCACACTTTTAAAAGCTAACCAGGCGCTAGGTCCAAAAGGAACCAAACTCAATGCTGGGTTATTTAAACCGAGCACATTGGGTTGAGACCATATGCGTTTGATCAAGCTTTTGATCCAGGTGTTGAAGTTCAAGTTACTAAGAAATGGTGGACTCCCTTCCTGACACAACAAACCACTGGCAACGTTGTATATGTAATATGTAATATATGTAATATCAAATTGACTTCATCTATAGTACACAACACAGCTCATGGTTGGGTCAAAAATGATCCAATTTGGGTTGAAAAAGTGACTGACCCGCTACCTGGACCAATTTGACCCAACTTTATCGGTTGTACTTGGGCTGTTTTGTACAAACTTAGGCATTTTTGGGGGGCGGTGGTAAAAGCAAGTTGTGCGAACATGGAGTAGTAGCATTGTTCGTTTTTTGACTAAGGTAATTTTTGATCTGTGTAGTGAAAAAAAATTGTGATCATTTCAGCTTTTCAGGCCATCCAAATCAAAATTTCACCCCAATCCACTCGCCAAGTACTTAAACCAACCTTGCGTGAAAGTAACCAAAATCCACAGCTACCCAGTGAGTGAGTTAGGAAAGCAACCCAGCATTTCTTTGTGTGTGAGAAAAAAAAATATCACTTTGGGCTCCAGCACTCGAACGCTGAAAATTTAAAACAAAATGTTTTACTTTTTCTCTCCCCCACCCCCACCACCCCCTTACCTTGATGAGATTGCCCCCATGTAGGCTAGAGAGCACACTTCTCAAGGAATTCATGAATACTTTCAAGCTTTCATAAACTGTTATCAGTTGTGAGGGAAGAACAGCGAGAGCGACCGACTTCATGTCAAATAGTGAGCCCACTTTTAGCTTTATTGCTTTGCCCCTTTGCCGGTTGTAAATGGACATAGCTCGATATAAAATAACGATTCGTCACCGCGGAATATGACTCCCTTTTGCCAGGAATGGACGGTAGAAGCCAGGGATGGAGCTAGATGGTGCAAAGATGAACGCAGCCACCTAAGGTTTTCAAATAATTTCAAATAGACGCTTTTTCAATCGCTATTGCTTGAGCATACGGACGACTCACTTCATCTCAGATTGACTCCAGTGACCATAACCCCCCTACACTCTGTTCACCTTCTCTGAGATCCCATTACCAAGGTTCGATGGCTTCAAGTGTGTATGAACGTGTGTTTATCCAACCCGCTGGGCAGCGCCCTGGCCCCGCACCCCCCGTGACTCAATTAAGGCAGACAGATGGTCCCGACCGGTGCAGGATTTAGAGCAGAGAGGTCCCTTCTTGCAGATAATAAAAGCCACAGTTTCCCCAGAATAAACGCCCCAAGCTCAGGACACCGAGCGCACAGACTTAACCCTTCTTGCTGAATCTATTCCCTGCATGAGTGTATCTCTCCACCCATGTTGGAGGACCCCCCGTGTGTACACACCACCCATGCCCTTATCTCGAATTTGACTTTCTGAGCAGTGTTTTAGTTTGAAGCATACCGATGCTCACTTGTTTTTGGGGCACATTTTCGAGTCACAGCTCAGAAAACAATTCAAAAGACATTGGTGTGTATCTCTCTCTCTCTCTCTCTCTCTCTCTCTCTCTCT